CTCCCTTGATTTGCATTCAGATTCGGAGACGGACAGTAGCAGTTTATGGCCAGTATGGAGGAAACCCCTGTGCTGGGGATGCCTTTGAAACAAGACCATGCACCCCTACAAGGGGATGCCCAACAGAGGATGGCTGTGGTGATCGATTCAGGTGTTTCTCAGGTACCATCCAAGATACTTTTTACCATTTTCTGGTCACAAAGTTTAGAAGACAAACTTGTTATCTTTGAAATTTGGTAAATGCGCAATGGCTTGCAGAACCTCTAATCTACAGATAAATTTGATTTAGCAGAATGTTTTCCTTTTTTTCAGCACGTTTTTAATTTCATCTGGAGTGTAGCAAAGCTTTGCAGATAATATACTGTAGCCCTGGTAGCCTCTTTGAGTCATTCTACCATACTTATTTGTCCCAGAGTCCAGGTTTTTCATTACAAGAAGGTAATTAAGGAACACAGCCTTAGATTTGATTGTTTGAAACTGTTCAAGGCTATATCCAAACATCTTAGAAATTGCTTGAGTCATGGAAGCTAACGGTCCCTAAAACAGTGATAGTATCCAACCAGATTTCTTTACCCTCACAAAAAAAGCACATTACCTCAGTAAGTAGATGTTTATCACATAAGAGGAATATGATAAACATGTTTTGGTGCTACCTGTGAGATAATCACAGTGAATCACAAGTGATAAGGTCAAAGGATGAAAGCTCAGGAAATAAATCTAGAAGACAACACATTATAAACCTTGAATGACTGTGGTTCCCTCAAGTGTATTACACATTATTTCTTTATGTCTACACTTACTATTGTTTCACAAGCCCTCCTGAGCACAGACTGTTAAGGGAGTGAACAGCTAATTAATGGCGTAGAAAAGTGGGAATTTTGCTTTGATTTTAAGTAATTTATTTTCAAATGAACTAACATTTCTCCTTTCCTCATGCATTTTTGTTCTGATGTAGGTCAGTGCATTAGCAGATCTCTTGTGTGCAATGGAGATCAGGATTGTGAGAAAGACGGTGCAGATGAAGATCGATGTGAAGAGAAGACGACTGTATGTGACATTGATAAACCACCTCCGAATTCAGAACTTACAGGAACAGGGTAATGTTCTGTACTGGGCTCAGCAGTGGTAGTGCCAAATGTATTTATGTTTTTGTTGTATTTACAAGCTCTGGCTTTACAAATAGTCTTCCTGGGCCTATGGTAAAACGTCCCATATGCAAAAGTGTTTGGTACAGCTGCCTGCATCATGCCAGCAGCGCAGTGCAGCCGGGATGTACAAGACCTTTGATTTGAAGCACAGGCTGGGTGGAGAATGGATTGAGAGCAGCCCTGAGGAAAAGGACTTGGGAGTGCTGGTTGATGAGAAGCTCAACATGAGCTGGCAAAGTGCACTGGCAGCCCAGAAAGCCAACCGGATCCTGGGCTGCTTCAAAAGAAGTGTGGCCAGCAGGTCGAGGGAGGTGATTCTGCCCCTCTACTCAGCTCTCATGGGACCCCACCTGGAATACTGCATTCAGCTCTGGAGTCCCCAACACAAGAAGGACATGGAGCTGCTGGAGCAAGTCCAGAGGAGAGCCACGAAGATGATCGGAGTGCTGGAGCACCTCTGCTATGAAGACAGGCTTAGAGAGTTAGGGCTGTTCAGCCTGGAGAAGAGAAGGCTCCCGGGTGGTCTTACAGCAGCTTTCCAGTACCTAAAGGGGGCCTACAGGAAAGCTGGAGAGGGACTTCTTACAAGGGCATGTAGTGATAGGACAAGGGGCAATGGCTTTAAACTGAAAGAGGGGAGATTTAGATTAGCTATAAGGAAGGAATTTTTTACATTGAGGATGGTGAGGCACTGGAACAGGTTTCCCAGAGAAGTTGTGCATGCCCCATCCCTGGAAGTGTTCAAGGCCAGGTTGGATGAGGCTTTGAGCAACCTGGTGTAGTGGAGGGTTTCCTTGCCCATGGCAGGGGGGGTGGAACTAGATGATCTTTGAGGGCCCTTCCAACCC